TTGAAGTCAAAAATACGTTCGAGCTAAGCCCTCCATATGTCGTGGACTCATTCACTCGCGCCACAACGCCAGTGGGAAAATGCCGAGCCAATTATTAATCCGCGCTAGCAACAGCAGACGCGGCGTAGCGGGCGAGTCGGCAGGGCGCGACACCCAAAGAAACTGTAGGGTGTCCTCCCATCTGTATAAACGGTGGGGTATTTGACCATACTTCACCACACTGATCAGTGCGGGTTGACGAAGAGTAGGCCGAGAGGGGCTCCCTGGAGATGCCTCTCGTGGAGGCCCAACTGAAGGCAGTGGCGTGGGGAGGCACTTGCAGGGTTGCGCCTCTAGCTCTGGCCTCGAGCGGAGAGCCGTGGCAGGAGGACGCGGTCAGAACTGGGCACGGGCAGTCGACACCGAAACCCAGCGGCGGAGGAGTCCGTGATTGGTGATGGCTGTGGTTGATTATTAACTTCCACGTAGCACCACCAACGCATCGCCATCACCAGCCCCAGCCAACACGGAGAGAGAGGAGGCTTTTGTTTTGTAAACCATCGTTCTGCACGTATACATCACAACATCATCACAACACATCACACCACATCACACCACACGTCGCCCTTGCACCCAATCTCTGCCGCCTCACTCGCCACGCACGCGACTTCCCTCTGCTCGCCATCGTTTAGCCCAGGGGTCGGCAACCTACGGCTCCGGAGCCGCATGCGGCTCTTAACGGGCTGCTTCTTGACGATATGTCCGTACGTACATAGATGCATTGCGGCTCTTGAAATACTGAATTTTGTACCGAATTGGAAAGAAATGGCTCTTCTTGTTATTTTGGTTGCCGACCCCTGGTTTAGCCGCTCGTTTTGTTACATGGCTGCGCCTTTAGCTTGTACTGTACATAAGTAATTAATCGATTATCATCATGCGTTTAAAAAGCAAAGACAAACGATACGGAAAAATCGATGAAATCAATTTAATATTCCTACAGACGAAACAAAAATGCTGCGATACTGCAGTGACAGTGATGCACAAACAACAACAACAACAAGAATGCAGTCAACACATTCGTCAATAACAACACTGTGGCCCGAAAAGGAAACGAATACAACAGGCGACGTTTCGGTCAATGGCCCCTTCTTCACAGCACACATGAACTAACTGTTGTACAATGGTACACATCATCTCCACCGCCACTTCCATCATCATCATCATTGCCACATCATCACAGCGACGTTTTTAAATGTCGAGATGCAAATATCAGTGGTGCGAGTTTGGCCTCAGGCTCAGTGTTGACCCCGGCGGTGCGAGGGAGCTGGCGGGGGGGGAGCTGGCGGGAGGGGAGCTGGAGGGGGGGGGAGCTGGAGGGGGGGGAGCTGGAGGGGGGGGAGCTGGAGGGGGGGGGCTGGGGGGGGAGCTGGCGGGGGGGGGAGCTGGCGGGGGGGGGAGCTGGCGGGGGGGGGGCTGGCGGGGGGGGGGCTGGCGGGGGGGGGGCTGGGGGGGGGAGCTGGCGGGGGGGGGGCTGGCGGGGGGGGAGCTGGCGGGGGGGGGGGCTGGCGGGGGGGGAGCTGGCGGGGGGGGAGCTGCCGGGGGGGGGCCTGGCGGGGGGGGGGAGCTGGCGGGGGGGGAGCTGGCGGGGGGGGGGAGCTGCCGGGGGGGGGCCTGGCGGGGGGGGGGAGCTGCCGTGGGGGGGGGGGGCTGGCGGGGGGGGGGGAACTGCCGGGGGGGGGGAGCTGGCGGGGGGGGGAGCTGGCGGGGGGGGGGGGCTGGCGGGGGGGGGCCTGGCGGGGGGGGGGGGGAGCTGCCGGGGGGGGGGCCTGGCGGGGGGGGGGGGGGAGCTGGCGGGGGGGGGGATTCACGACACGCGCCCCACGCTTCCACTGCCGCGCGGGGAGATGGAATGGAGTCGGCGCGAGTTCTAAATCGCGAGTCCGACCACCACCACCGCCACCACCGTGACAGCTTCCTTCGTGCCTTGTGCTCCAGACGTTGCTTGATGTGCGGCAAATGGGTAAACCAGTTTTGTTTGATTCGGTAGCTGGTAATGCAAAAAAACCGGTTCTTACAACTGGAGTAAAAATTTAGGCAAATTAAATCACCTCGAGTGGGTCACCCCCCGCCCCCCGCCCCCAGCAGCCCCCCCCCCTCGCCCGACCTGCACGGGCGCATTCCCCTCGCGCTCCACGGCGCCAGCAGCTCCACGTGGGCGCAGCTGTCCGCCTGCACGACTCCGTCAATAAGCCGAGATCTTTAGATAATAACAACAGCGCCAGCAGACAAACACAGTTGTCAATGGATCTCTTTGAAGGAGGGTCATTGTCCAAAACGTCGCCTTTGTTCCATATAAACAGTATATATTTATATATTGCAAGGGCACTGTGTTGTTGAGGAATGTGTTGCGATTTCGTTATTAGTCGTGCCGACGCGCCACTGCCAACACAGCCGCAGCAGCATCGCCACATGTTTCGCTACATTGATAACTGATATATTTTCCACACACCACCGACGATATTCTGTATATATATTAACATATAATGTGTCCGACGTTCTGCTCCACGTGCTGGTATCCACTTCAGGAACTAAATTCGATTTGGGCATGCCCTCTCATGCATATTATTACAATGCTGCTCAATTCACGTAAAGAAGCTGCCGGTACATGGAGCGAAACGTCAAACATGGTACCGAGCATTACACAATACAACCCAAAAACACATCAGGGACATGTACAGCAGAGCCGTGAATACAAAGATAAAGATCCCCCACCCTGTCCCCCTGTAGCCTTAACATACTGTTGGGGCAAGTGCTGTGAGCGAGCAGCCTTGAAGGCCGGCGCGGTGGCACGCGAGACAGTGGGTAGCCAGCACCACGCCCGGCCGCCTTTGTCTCCCCCGTGCCGATGTTTCTAAACCGCACCAGGTACTCATTTAAGGCGGAGTTGATGTTGTGGAGGCCCGGGATCGCTTCAAATATACGCCACTGTTATCGGTCGTTCGGGAAAATCGAACCTGAGGTCGCCGTATTAGTAGGAGCAGTGTGCTAACGACTGCACCACCGCTCCCCACGCCCCGCGAAGAGCCCCACGGCAGTGGCAGCTTCATTCTGCACGCGGGTGCCGGAGCGGACGCACTGGGATGACGCTCGTGTCTCACTCGAGTTTGTATGTCTGCATGTTTGTCTGTATGTCTGTATGTCTGTATGTCTATATGTATGTATGTCTGTATGTCTTTATGTTTGTATGTATGTCTGTATGTTTGTATGTATGTCTGTATGTTTGTATGTATGTCTGTATGTTTGTCTGTATGTCTGTATGTTTAAATGTCTGTATGTTTGTATGTCTGTATGTCTACGACTGTATGTCTATGGCTGTGTCTATGCATATCTATGTCTGTATGTTTGTGTCTTAGACACGATAGCAACGAAGGCGATACCATCTCCTTCTCATATCTGTCTCTCCACGTTAAAATTAAAGTAAGTGTTCTTTTCGAGACACATTTCTTTACACATCCCATCAGCTACACGGCCTTCTGGGAATGAATGTTTCGCAGTCATCAGCCGAAAATATCGATCTCTTGAAGGCCGTGTTGCTGACGGGATGTGACAAGAAATGTTTGTATTTTGCATTATGTACGTGCAGGGGACAGATGTGGGCAGGTGCCCGCCACGAGGAAGCGCGTCCCGCGTGAGCTCAACAGCAGATTCATGAACCCCTTGCCCCATCATGCACAACGTGTCACAGCCAACACGTGGTCTGTGTCCCATCATGCACAACGTGTCACAGCCAACACGTGGTCTGTGTCCCATCATGCACAACGTGTCACAGCCAACACGTGGTCTGTGTCCCATCATGCACAACGTGTCACAGCCAACACGTGGTCTGTCCCATCATGCACGACGTGTCACAGCCAACACGTGGTCTGTCCCATCATGCACGACGTGTCACAGCCAACAGGATCCCGCGTCACTGTTTACACTCAGATGGCCAGGACAACTCAAAACCACAACAACACCCCCCTCTCTCTGCCTCCATCAGCATCTCGCCACTGGCAAGCTGCTGCTGCTGCTGCCTTACTGCTCGGCACCGAGGACACACGTTGGGGAGTGAGTTGGTGAATGATGAATGGTGAATGATTAAAGATGAATGATTAATGGTGAATGCCTGATGACTACCGCTTGTGTTGCGATCGAAACGTCGTGATTTATTTGATTTTATTCTAACTACGTGAATTTACCGAAAGAACCAAAGAGTATGGATTCCTGCAGTCACGAAAGCTTCAAATCAAGATTGACTGATGAATGAGCAAAGAGAAAACTTTCGAATCGGCGGGCAGCTGCGGAGGCGGCATCGCGCGCCGCCACGATCCGTGCCGACGTCGGCGTTGGGACTCCTCGGTGCGAGTCGCCCCCAAGGGGTCTCGCGAACGTCAGGCGCGGCGCGGCCTGCGCCTCGCTCCATGGGGTTCGCCTTCCACCACGTGCAATAAACCAGACGCCGAAGTGTCAATAAAACACGCACACACACAAACCCCGCACCTAATAACAACGCCCTTCGCTTACACAGCAAAGCCTCGCCGAAGTCTTCAGACGATTGTTTAGGAGGGTCCTGCCACAGGGCAATGTTTGGCCAATCCCATTCACGACGAGAGTTTGGCTCCGTGTGGGGGGAGTAAACCGGACAACACGGATACGCTGCTGTATACGAGCACACTCGCAGCACTGCACAGATAGATTCAATAATCTATCGATGTGCTGCAAACTCGGAGGTCAAGGACCGAACACAAGCGAGTCGTGATCTCCCCACTCAGAGAGGACGGGACGGCACGCATCTCTAAGCCAGCAGCGGAGATTCCACATTGTTATGGAGGCCGCTCAAACGATAGGGCACATGGCCCTGGTACTCGTTGAAGCACCCTGGCAGAGCGAGGGTGTTATGATCGCGAGCCGTCTGCTGTGAACACCGACTGATACATAAATGTCAGACACGATTATGGGATTGATCTAAAGGGAATAATAGCTCAAGGAATGATTATACTTTATTATTTAGGCACTCAACAACAAACACAATGAATATTGCTCATGAGCATAATTTATCTGTAACGCATGCAAATCGTAGAGAGACGTTCCATTTAAGCGAATATGTTGAACGAGGCAGACAATGCAAACAATATCTTCATCCAGCAGTGCATTGACCAAGGACTCTTGTTACTATGCGAACTGTTATCATGAATATACCACGCTACAGCATAATGTATTGCCACCGTGAAACTTCACGTAATGCAGGCGCTTGGTTAAAGCCTGAGTCAACCAGCATCGGGTTTGGCCTGATTGCTGGTGAGACACTGCAGGTCAAATCCGGTGGAGAGTTTGCTGGTGTTAAACCAATGCCGCTTACAAAATTAACTCCCAAAAGGCCGTGTCGCCAAAATGGGTTTGTAAAAAATATAAATGTATTTGATAATTGGTTCTTTACCCTTCTACCTGGCAACAAAAGGGTAAAGAACCAATTATCATATTTTTACTGGCAAATGAGGTCCCCATAGTATAAATGTATTTTTCATGTGCAGAGACAAACATGGGAAGGATGAGATTTGAAGATGTAGTCACTGCTTTGACACCAACATGTGTGTCACCTGGTGTTGGTGACATCACTTTTGCGAACCCGAAGACACCGATATGTAACCAAGTAAATTATCTGAAAATGCGATCCAAAGCTTTCCTTAAAAATCCAAAATTCCAAAGTGTTATTTTTAAATCCATAACGCATCCCGAGTATAGGCACACGCTTCATTACACGTTGCATCACTTGAACAGAGGTATCAACAACCACAGCTACCAACTGACTCTAGGGTCACGTGACGATCTTGTCTTGTATACCCTCCATCACACAACGCAGCCAAACAAATGAACCCGTCACGTGTACAAGTTGTTAAGGAGCCAGCTATTATCGATTCAGGTCGACTCCGCTCAGCTTCGGAACAATCCTCACAGCACAATGTAGCGACGAGACACGGTAAGCTGGTCACATTTGTGTCGTAAGACCCTTCACCACCCGAAATAGACAAACACAATTCAGTCGCGCTGTAAATATCCAGCAGGAAGTCAGAATAAAACCCTACCCTCACAAAAACATCGACAAGGACCACCGCGGTTTCACGAGCGTAGGTGATGCCTCATTTAGTGCGCGACTCACGGTCTAGGGCCGATGACGGCGCTCGCAAATACTTGCATCGTAAACCATCCACCACTCACCGCTGAAAAACCGGTTTCCGGAACGCTGCGCAGGAATGCGACCGCGCAGCGTCCACAGCTCACCAGGCGCCTTGAGCAGCATATCGCAAGGCTCATCGTCAAAACAACGCGATGGGAAATCGTCGCCGCTTAAACTAAAAAAATCCAGAAATACTCTGCATGCCCCCGGCTATCACACCTCGGGTCGGAAACGAGAAGCTGAAAAGTGCGCAAAGAAGCGTGCGCGAGAGACGCGTGCTTGGAATGACAGGGAGAGACAGGGGCTCACGCGGCGTGGAGAAGCACGCACGACAAGGGAGGTCATTGCTGACCGCTGCCTGGAGGGGGGACCGGGGCCCGTCATGGGCAGAATGGACGACAGGCGATCGATGAAACTGGTGACAGAATGACAGTCAGGGAGGGTGACGGCATACGGAGGCCTTCACCCAGCAGTGGATAGATCATAGATGACGATGATCATGATGACATACAATACAACCACTGAGGCAGCAGATTATATACTTACACTTCCCTTGTGGTAAAATCGCATTATTATATGAACACACTGTTTAGCAAATACGATATTTACAATCATAACAACAGCAATATCGACCGAAACACACACATCGATCATACCCGACTCCAGTAATTTACCAGCGACCCAGAAAATATTCAGTGAGAAATTAAGCACAAAAATCCCCCATGAAGCCTGCACATCTCGTTGGGGCAAGTGCTGTTAGCGAGCACCGGTGAAGGGCAGCACGCGCACGAGGGGGCGGGGCACCAGGCCCACGCCGATGTTTTTACACAGCACACCAGGTACTCATTTAAGGCTGAGTCGACATAGGGGAGGCCCAGGACCAGTTCAGATATTCGTCATGATTAGGAATTGAACTTGAGTCACCGTATTCGTAGCGCTGACAGGTCAGAGGGCAGTCCCAGGTGTTACAGGTGAACTAAGATGACCGGCGGATGCCCCACCTGTGCTCCACCCTGCACCACCTTGCTGCATTTCACCTGCCCCACGCTCCACTCACTGTTGTCAGAGTTGTTTCTCCACTCTCCGCTGCTGCTGGAGGGCGACTGCCTCCAACTGTTGACGAGCCTTATAGTGCACACACACGGACACACAGACGGACACACACACCGACACACACGGACACACACAACACTCAACGGTGACCCCCTTTCATTCCCAACTTCTTCAGAGCCTCCGTGTGGTCGTTTTGCGAGGGTTTTCGCACGGGGACGAACTGCCCCCCCACGGGGATGGCTCGTGGAGCGGCCGCGGTGACGCTGGGGCTCTGGGGGGTGCCGTGGGACGCGTAGGACCTCGGCAGCGACGTCGACGAACGCGCGGCCACCACTCCGGTGTTGTACGGCTGAGATTCGTCCGCCGAGACCTGCGGCGCTCGGAAGAGCGGGGAGTTGAGGTGGACGACAGCGGGAGACACGGTGATGCGCTGCTTCTGCGCCCGCGTCACGGCCTCGCCCCTGGGCTCGTCGGCGGTCGGAGTCGTCGCTTTGACAGCCGCCGCCTTTGCCTTCGCTGCATCGGCGTCGTGGGTGGCGGGAGAGGGGAGCGTCTGCTCTCCGTAGCTGTCCCCAGATTTAATGGTGATGCGTCTTTGCCACGGCTTGGGCTGGGGCATAGGGGCGTCTTGGCGAGCCGGTGGTGCCTGCTTGTCCACGGGGTTTACCGCAGCATTGACCACGGGATGTACCGCGGGATGTACCGCGGGGTTGGCCACGGGGTTGACCACGGGGTTGACCACGGGGTTGGCCACCTGAGTGACCAGGCCAATTTGGTTGCCGGAGAGGTGCCCCAGTTCCAAGGCCGCCTTGAGCCCGGCGTGGAACCCGGCCTGAAATTCCGCTTCACGTTTCCCGGCGTACGCGACCGGAGGCGCCAGCTCGCGGATGTCCACCAGGCTCGTGGCGGCATGCAGAGCCGGCGGACGGGAAGCCGAGGCCCGTGCAGCGGCATTCTGGGCACCGTTCGGCCGCTGCTGCTGCTGCTGCGTGGTGGAAGGTCGCGTGTTCATCTTGGCGTTTACCCTGGCCGCGGCCTCCGCCGCCGTGCCGTGCGTGGAATTGACGGTCCGGCTCCTCACCCGGTTGACGAACGCGGAGCAGACGGGGGAGAAGGCGTCCGAGTCGGCGTCGCGCGAGCTCTGGCCGGGTTCCGCGTGGCGCGCGGCGGACGGCGGCGGTGCCGCGCCCGCCGGGTTGGGCTGCACGCGCGGCTGGTTTGGGTGCGGCGGCGGAACCGAAATAGTTGCGTGACCTTTGTCGGGTGCGGCGCTCGAGGCGGCGACGACAGAAGAAGCAGGGCTTAGCTGCTGCTGCTGCTGGCGATATTCTACAATGCCAATCTGTCGACCCCGATCGCCGCCCTGCGTCCCCATATGCTCCATGCCGGCGCCGACCGACTGGGAGCGGGACAGCTGGGGCCCGACGGGCGCCCGGCCGCACTCTTCCTCCTCCGAGCCGGCGCTCTCCGTCGAGCCGCCCACGTGAAGGCCGAGCTTGGCCCGCGCCTCCGTGTGGGCCAGCTGCTCCGGCCGCCCCTGCAGCCAGAACTTGGAGCCTCCCTGCGGCTGCTGGCGCCTGTCCGGGGGGGCCCCCGGCCCCCCCTCGTCCCGGCCGCTGCCCAGCGACGCATTGCGCAGGAATTTGGCCCTGCGCTCCGAGACACTCAGCGCCTCCAAGCACGGCGGGGTGCTCCGCTGGGCGGGCGCGATGACGTGGAGCCGGCGGGGTCCGCCGGCACCGCCGCCGGCACCGTCGGCACCGCCGGAGGGCATCTTGGCAGCACTCTCCGGAGGAGGCTCCGCGATGGCGAGCGGCGAGGGAGCGGCGGCGGCGGCGACCGCGCTGTGCTGTGACGCCGCCATCGCCGGCGCCGGCAGCTGCGGTTGTTGCGGTGGTGATTGTGGTGTTTGTTGTTTTGGTTGTTGTGTATGTTGGTGTGGCGGTTGTGTTTGTTGTTGCTGTGGTGGTTGTTGTCGTGGTAGTGGTGGTTGTTGTGATGGTTGTTGTTGTTGTGGTTGTTGTTGTGGTGTTGGTGGTGGTTGTTGTGGTGGTGGTTGTTGTGGTTGTTGTGGTGGTGGTTGTTGTGGCGGTGGTGTTGGCGACTGTCGTGATAGTGGTAACTGTTGTGGTGGTGGTTGTTGTGTTGGTTGTTGTGCCGGTGGTGGCGATGGCGGCGATGGCTGTTGTGGTGGTTGTTGTGGTACGACAGGGTCGGTCTCTGACGATGTCAGGAAGGACGTGGAGGCCACTGGGACCGTGCGGAAGTTGATCGAGGAGTTGTCCAAGATGGTTGGGGCCGCGGCGGTCACGACTGATGTGAGTGATGGGGTCACCGATGGGGGTGGGCCTGAGATGATGGATGGGGTCACAGGCGAGTGCACGCGCGGGGTCACCGTCGCATATATGGGTTCGGGTGGGGTCACGCGTGAGGTCACGGGTGGGGTCACACGTGAGGTCACGGGTGAGGTCACGTGCGAAAACGCGGGTGGGGCCTTGAAAGGGGTCGCATATATTGGCTCGGGTAAGGTCACTTTTGGGGTCGCATACGAGGTCTTGGGTGAGGTCTTGGGTGAGGTCTTAAATGGGATCGCATATATGGGCTCGAGTGGGGTCACGGATGGGGTCACGGATGAGGTCATGGGTGAGGTCACCAGTGTTACGGGGTCGATGTCTGCACAGCAACAGCAACAACAGCAAAAAAAGCATCAGCTTCATGACAGAACACAATAACATTTCAGGCTATAACTACACGTGGTGGGATTGGTGATGGCCAAACATTGGAGACGGCCAAAGTAGGACGACAGAGCTTGGGCATTTGTTGAAGACTGAGGGTTTACCTCCTCGCCCCAAGAGGTTATCTCCAGACATTCGCAGTTTCATTCCCGCAGGTATCAATGATCATTAGTGGCATTGGCCAAACGTCCCAATATCGGATCACAGAGCTTGGCTAATTGTTGGTGCTGGTTCTGGCTGCCTTTCCTGCTTTTCTGGGTTTTTCCCACCCCTCTCAATTATTCTCACTCGTTACGTGGCCCAACCCACGGTTGAACGATGACTCGAGCTCAACAACAACAACAACAAGACACAGGCAGGAGGGTGCGTCACCTGTGGGCGGGCGGTAGCGGAGTCGCGCCAGCCCCTGGTGCTGGTTCTGCAGCCTGGCGGAGGGGGGGTCCCCGTGCGCCAAGGTGGGCGATTGAGGGGGGCTGTCATCGGGTGGCCTCGACTTGGGGGGGCTCGGAACGGATCGCGGGGGGGGGGCGGCACGTCCGTCGGTCGAGTCCGCGGAGCGCCCCTCGGCGTGGTCGGACGACGTGGACTCCGCCTCCGAGTCGTCCAGGGACTCGATCATCTCCTCGAAGAATCGCATGCAGTCGGCTTCCTCGGCGGACAGCCCCGGGATCAGGGCGGCCTGGGGTGACATCGTGGTCGTCACCGTCATCGTCATCGCCATCATCGGTACCATCATTGTTATATCACAATCAAAATCATCATTGTCATTACCACTGCAATCATCATTATCGGCGTCATCATCAATTGTGTCATCATTATAGCTACCCTTGTTTACCCAGGAAAACGTCACCGAATCTCAAGACTCCTTTCCAGGAGGGTCCTGCCGAGTCGTTCCAGAAGGGACCAATGTTGCTATGCGAGTCACCACAAGTGACTGATTCCCAGGTAATGTTGAAGCGTTGGGATGTTTGGCCAACGCTGGTCACAATGCACGTTTGTTTTGAGCTATGGCAGGAAACCAGAGAACCTGGAGAAAGTCCGTGCAGAGCAGGGGGAGAACACAGAAACCCCACACAGAGAGGCGCCCGAGTCAGGGATCGAACTCAGGTCCTTCTCGCCGTGAGGCGCGAGCGTGACCGTGGTGCCGTCACCGCTCTGGCGCCTGAAAAGCACCGAGACTCATTCCGGTTGCACAGAACAACCTCATCCACCAAGTGGCTGGCAGACGCATTGGGTTGACGTACCAGGACAGCATGCTTTCCCTGGGCAGTGGAAGAAGTGCCATTGTTTAGCCTCGGCCCGGTTATCGAACTCACCTCCGTGGCCCCGTTTCTTTGGGCGCCCGGCATGGCTGCTTGCGTGACGGCGCGGGGCTGGTGCGGAGCGGGTGGGGCCCGGTCCGGCAGCGGGTCGTCACGGTACGCCACCAGCCGCACCACCCCCTCCACCGCGGGGGCCCGGTACGGGTCGCTCTGAGGGCACATGCTCATGGTCTATCCACTGCTGGACGGCGATAATCGTCCATCACTATTATCGCTATCATAATCTCACGCCATTTAAACACTGATACACACACCCTAGCACACTCTCATACACACACTCCCACACACACACTACTACACACACACACTACCACACACACACACTACCACACACACACACTACCACACACACACACCCCCACCACCCAACTCACACCTCATGGCCACACTCGCAAACTCTCCCATGACGCAGTCTGCAGCGATGTTTCGCGTTCACCGGCCCGCTCACGACTGGGGATGTAAATAATGAGAATGCTACGCGCTCCGTTTGCTTCACAGCGGTCGTCCAAGTCCCGCTGACGTCTTGCTCAAGAGTAGCTCACTGTGTGCCGCCGTGAGGGTGACGCATTTTGACGAATTCTAAAATGACTCCAACATTTTTTTACTCAATCGGGATAACACCGAGTAGCAGATACAGCCATCATCGGCCCCAACTCACAGGGCAGCTCACCCTCGCAGACGAGACTCGCCCTGGCCCCGTGAGTGGTGCATGTTTGAGGTGGATGTTTGTGGTGGTGGATGTTTGTGGTGGTGGATGGTGGTGATGGATGGTGGTGATGGATGTTTGTGGTGGTGGATGTTTGTGGTGGTGCATGTTTGAGGTGGTGGATGGTGGTGGTGGATGGTGGTGGTGAATATTTGTGGTGGACGTTTGTAGTGGTCTTTGTGGTGGATGTTTGCCCACCACCACGGCTACACTCGCCCCGCCCGCCAGCGCCTGCCGACTCACTGCTCTTGGCTCACGGAGCCGGGCGGGCTCACAGAGCCGCGGTAGCTGCAGCAGCAGCAGCAGGGCGAGGATGGAGATGATGGAGAGTGCCGAGGGCAAGGGTGGTGGTGGTGATGAAGCGGCAGCTGCTATAGGCTCGGGAGCGAGGTGCCAATGCCGAGATCTGCCGCTCGCCACGACGAGAGGGCTTCGGCACGACGAGAGGACTTCGGCACAGAGAGAGTTCGTCCACTTGCTGCTATCAGCATGCTCCTCGTTCTCTGCTGAAGTATCGCTACAGTTCCCCCGACGCCTCCCAAATGATGACAACAGAGGAGATGGAGCGATACAATCTGCTACGCGTGTGAGTAGCTACGCCTCAGGATCGTGAGAGGTGCGGCGGGCTTGGGATGGGATTCATCCAGCAGGGCTGCTGCCAGTGACGAGTGAATGCGACGAGCCGTGACCGTGCGTGCCAGTCTGTTACTAAGTTTATCTGACCATGCGTGAACGAGTATTGTAGGTCGCGGCACCCGTTGTACTGTACTTTGTATGACCCGAATCCCATCGCTGCTAGGAACGGCGCTCTCAGGGAATTGTCAACCGGCACGAGCCGTTAAGAGCGACGTCGCCAATGTGAGATCTCGTTTCTCTTTAAGACCACGCGGTGTTGTTGACCAACGAGTTAGTATCGCCGAAATATGCATTTCATAGTCCTCTACAGTTATCTCCAGGCCCCGATCAGCCGGCAGGGGCGAACGCGAGCACTTTCAAGGCTGCGCCTCTACCGTAGCCCGCGTCGCCGGTTCGCGCTCCGCTAGAGCGAGTCGCTCACTCCACGTTACCGTCTTTGACGCCAGCGCGAGACGACTGCGGAGGAGGCAGCTCCTGCCTGCTGGTGTCTCTGTCTGCCCTGCGATCTCCGCGTCTGTGGGGAGGGGAAATAAAGGCGGACGGGTGAGAGACGAGGAGCAGAGAGCGGGGGGTGAGAGACGAGGAGGCGAGACGCCGGCGCGGTCGCTGAGGCGGGCGGTGTGGGAGCGCACAGACAGTGGATCACTCACCTGGAGAAACCACGCCCCGCGCGCACCACGGCCCCTCCCGGCACGGCTCACGCTCACCCACCCACCCATCTGCTCACTCACCCGCCCACCTGCTCACCCATCTACCCGCTCAACTACTCATCCACTCAACTATCCACCCAGCCACCTACCCGCCTGTCTCGCCACTCACCTGCTCACCTACCTTCCCATCTACCTGCCAGCCTGTCCACATATCCACTCACATGTCCGCGTGTGTCGTGAAGCTGAGCACGCGAGGTCGCGGCCGTCTCGGCGTGTGGGGCTGTCGGACGAGACGCACGAGCCAGGCGATGTTTGTACATAACACAGACAAAGACCATCCGTGGAGTTTACGCAGACTGTGTGAGGCAAGTGCTGCTAAAGCGCTGTTGTGTTTGCTCTGATTTCTATTTGGTCCATCGCTGTACAGAACTTCAGTGTTGATGTTTTGCTTTCGTCATCTTCATGACCCAGGTCCACTCTTGCCAGTGGGACTCATCCTGATCTTTTGAGTTATCGCCGAGTGAAACAAAATAAACTTGACCTACTCAAGCCGTAAAGGTGCACAGGAGGTGATGTGGCCGCCTTTTATGTCCATCTTTATGATGGTTTACACTTCGCTCAACACACACGCACAGACACGCACACGCTCAACACACACGCACACACACAAGACACACACGCACACACACAAAGGCACGCACACTCACACGCTCAACACACGCACAGACACGCACACTCACACACACTCACACGCACACACACACAGACACGCACACACACAGACACGCACAGACACACACACTCACATGCTCAGCACACACGCACACACACAGACACACGCTCAACACACGCGCGCACACACACACAGACACACACACTCACACACGCACAGATACACACACAGACACACACACGATCAACACACACGCTCAACACACACGCTCAACACACACGCACACACACACATAGACATACACAGACACTCACACGCACACACACATACACACACACAGACACACACACAGAGACACGTGCTGACGAATACGCGCATTAATGAGCAACCTCACGCCAAACCGGTTCAACCCTCCTACCGACAACCAGCGAGTGGGGCCACGTGGGGGGAGGGGCAGGGTAGCAGTGGAACGAACCTGGAATTCATGATACTTAAACATTCACATACTTTGCAAAATGCGCAGACTAAAAAAATAATCCAGGTTGATGAGCGGAGGGCGCAGAGACGCCAACAACTCCAAGCGGCCAGCAACAGATAATCTCCCCCCCAATGACGCCGGTGCTGAGCTTGGCATGATGTGTTGTAGTGTCGCGTCAAACTAGGACCCATGCCTAACAGAGGAGGGCCCTTGCCTTGATCATCATGAAGGAGCGGTGCTGCACATCGGCCTGATGCCGATGGTACCACCCCAGTGTCTCTGAGGAGGAAGAGGAACGCCAAATCCAGGAGGTGTGATGATGATGATGTTTTGGGTCTCCAACGAGGCACTCATCCAGGATGTCCCACTGTGCTCGCACAGGGGATGGGTCGGGGGTGTGAGCGCGACCCCTTGCTGCTTCCTGGGCCGTGAGGCTGCGGCCGCACCTCAGCGCCCTCCGTGAGTTGTGCCCGCGGCTTGGCCGACCTGGGGGTGAGGCGCGGAGTCGTGACGTGGCTTGGGCTGAGGCAGCGAACTTGTGGGGTCGGCACACACGTCACGCGATCATTAAATAGCTTCTGCTGCGACGTGAACAGAGGTTATTGATGGGACAGATGTCTGCAGGGGGATATTGGCCGCTTATTTATATTGTCTCCGTGCATTGCGACCTAGGTAACCATTGCATACTTGTGCGGGTATTTGACACGTTGTCCTTGCCAAAGACAACCACCCACCCCTCCCGTCAACCGTGAAGGCCTCAACAAACTTCTCCACCCGCCGCCGACTTAAAGTCGCGATCTCCTTCAGGGATGGCGCTGCTCTCTCTCTCCTCCCGTGGCCAGCAGACAGTCCCTTTCGGGAGTTATCTCCTCAATACCATTGCCCGCCATGCGCAAGAATGGTGGAGGTGTTGGGGTGGGATCAAGGGTGTTGGTCGGGGTGCCGCCATGCCAGCCGGGTTCGAGGCGCTGGGTCCAACGTTAAAGACGCCGCGTGGCTTCACCCGCGTGCCCCTCAGACCCCGCGCCGCGGATTGCAGCGCGAAACATCATCAGGGGCGACGTGGCGAGCTGCGTGTCTCTGTGTGTGTCTCTGTGTGTGTGCGTCATTGTGTGTGTGCGTCATTGTGTCTGTGTTTTTGTGTGGGGAGCGGTGGTGTAGCGGGGAGCGGTGGTGTAGCGGTTAGTGCACTGCGCTACGAACCCGGCGACCCGAGTTCTATTCCCGCTCACTTCCAACATGGGTGACGATGTCCTGTCTCTCTACCCCGGAGTCGATCCAGCCTTGGACGAGTAGCTGCCGCGGTGCCTAAACATGAGCGCTTGGAAGACAAAGGCGGCCGGGTGTGGTACTGGCCACTCACCCTCGTGTGTGCCGTTCCGGCGTTCGCTAACAGCACTTGCCCCTGTTAAGGCGAGGCGGGAGACCTTTGTCTTTGTTGCGTGATTGGGGCGCCGTGTGCGTGGCCCTCACGCTCCTCCTCACCCCTCCTCCTCACCCCACCTCCTCCCCCGGCTCTAACCGTGACCCGTATCACCCATGCTTACTCCTCACCCCTCGCCTCCACACTCACCACATCCCTCATTCCCCACTCACTGCATGCTTCCGCCTCTCCACATCGCTCACCTCCCCACTCACCACATCGCTCACCTCCCCACTCACAATATCGCTCACCTCCCCACTCACCACATCGCTCACCTCCCCACTCACCACATCGCTCACCTCCCCACTCACAATATCGCTCACCTCCCCACTCACCACATCGCTCACCTCCCCACTCACCACATCGCTCACCTCCCCACTCACCACATCGCTCACCTCCCCACTCACCACCTCATAACTCCAGGTGATCTCAAGTGCCACGACCGTACTCCTGGTAGCAACTCAGATTCCTTCGACAACCATACTTCACCACACTTCACCATACTTCACCACGCTGACCAGTGCGGCTGGTTGGTGAAGTAGGAGAGCGGGCCTAGGGCTGGGTTCAGATATCGCTCGCCACTGATGTTAGCCGTGGCTGGAATCGAACTCGCGTGGCTGAGTTCGTCGCGAAGTTCGCATGCGTCTGTGCCATTACTCCACACCTTCAAAGCAGCAGAGGCAGGTCGCTGGTGAGATACTGAATGTCTTTGCTTGTTTTGAACAAATGCTGCTGGAATATTGCACTCCCAGAGGGCCGTGCGGCTGATGGGATGTGTGAAAAGTGAATGTGACGTGGAGGGACCCGCATTTGATGCGGAGGCGACTTGTCAGCCCCGTGACACATTCAGCACGGAGACAGCGGCCAATGCGTGCGTTGCGTCACACGCGGGGCGACACCGCCACCTGGTGACTTCTAACATCAGCAGCAGCTGCATCATCTTCTGTAGCAACAGCAGCATCATCAGCTGCATCATCAGCATCATCATCAGTATCATCATCATCTGCATCATCATCATCTGTGGCAGCAGCATCATCATCATCATCTGTAGCAGCAGCATCATCTGTAGCAGCATCATCATCAGCTGCATCAGCTGCATCATCATCATCAGTATCATAATCAGTTGCATCATCTGTAGCAGCATCATCATTAGCTGCATCATCAGCATCATCATCAGTATCATCATCATCAGTTGCATCATCATCTGTAGCATCATTATCATCAGCTGCATCATCATAGTCATCACCATCAGCAGCAGCTGCATCATCTGTAGCAGCAGCATCATCATCAGCATCATCATCAGCATGGTCAGCCTTGGTTGCCCGTGCTGCAGTCCGTGCCACCACTCATTGTCTCACTTGCCGCGCCGGGAGATGGAACACAATAACGACATTTTGATTATTATACAATATACGTTTATTTGTTGTGCTCAGTTTAAACTAGTGGTAGAAAGTGACTGCATGATACATGCATTATTTATGTATTACACAGTTTAAAAATACATAGCATAGCTCAGTATGCATAGGTGCTGGAGAGGGTAAGTTTCAATTACTCTTTGGAGCAGATGGTGGTGGTGATGGTGGTGTTGGTGGTGGTGTTGGTGGTGGTGATGGTGGTGTTGGTGGTGGTGGTGATGGTGGTGTTGGTGGTGTTGGTGGTGGTGTTGTTGGTGGTGGTGATGGTGTTGGTGGTGGTGATGGTGGTGTTGGTGGTGGTGGTGTTGGTGGTGGTGATGGTGGTGTTGGCAGTGTTGGTGGTGGTGTTGGTGGTGGTGGTGATGGTGTTGGTGGTGGTGATGGTGGTGTTGGTGGTGATGGTGGTGTTGGTGGTGGTGATGGTGGTGTTGGTGGTGGTGTTGGTGGTGGTGATGGTGGTGTTGGTGGTGGTGGTGATGGTGGTGTTGGTGGTGTTGGTGGTGGTGTTGTTGGTGGTGGTGATGGTGGTGTTGGTGGTGATGGTGGTGGTGTTGGTGGTGGTGGTGTTGGTGGTGGTGATGGTGGTGTTGGCAGTGTTGGTGGTGGTGTTGGTGGTGGTGGTGATGGTGTTGGTGGTGGTGATGGTGGTGTTGGTGGTGATGGTGGTGGTGATGGTGGTGATGGTGGTGATGGTGGTGTTGGTGATGGTGGTGGTGATGGTGGTGATGGTGGTGTTGGTGGTGTTGGTGGTGGTAATGGTGGTGGTGATGGTGGTGTTGGTGATGGTGGTGGTGATGGTGGTGGTGAGGCTGTAAGTGGCCTATGAAGGACGTGCTGCCTGTAACAGTGTTGGCCGGTTGGCTCGGGGGGTTCATAATGGCCATCCCAAAAACTCGAGTTGGCTCCATTTATATCTTCGGTTCAAATCCAGGTTTCACAACCGACTGGAATTAAATCGGGATCTCAAGTGTAGCGAGTTGATGATATCATCCATGTCACCAATGACGAGCCCAGAGACCCACAGACTCACGGAGACCCACAGACTCACACAGACTGAGATCTGTGTAAACCAGGTTCTCCATGCTCGGGTCTCAGCTGATGGTCTCAGCCTCATCACCAATGACCGCACACAAGACAATGATACGTTTTCAAACTTTGATGATGAAAAATCTTCCAGCTGGCTGCCACGCGCCGTCCACCTCTACAGGGCCCTCCGCCACCGAGTGTGGGAAAGAGGCAATTGAAGGGACCTCAGAAGTAGTTATTTGACTTCATCTGTCACGGCCACACAAGGCCGTGGCACCGCTTCCTGCACGACGTCCGCATGGACATTTCTTCGCCATCTTGACGACAAAACCCCGAAAGCACACCCACTGTGCGATTGCGTTTTTGTGATCCATTTGTGTCTGATCGTGAACTCTGTTTTTAAGGCAGTTATATAAAAGCAAACCGTGGCGGTGGTGAGACCCTAAGGCTCGTATTGTGAGTCAGGACTCGGCTCAGGCTTGGCTCTGGTTCAAAGGAGCCGGCTCAAAGCCACGTGGTCCCAGTCGGAGCCGTGGCTCCGACTGGGACCACGTGACATCACCACGCGTCTCGTGAACACGTCACGCGGTGGGTGGCGCAGTGGGTCTCTGATCCATGTCTTCAGCTCGCAGCTCGTCTCGGCACCAATCTCACGAATCCCTACGGCGGCCTTTGATCATCGCCCTCCCGGTAGTGCAATGCGCCACCCAGACCCAGAGTCCTAAACCACTCCCGTGGTAGCTCAGGGAGCCACCACGATGCAGAGTTATCTTTCCCTCTCCGCCCCCTCCCCCTGTAGGTCCCCCCACCCCACACAGCCCCGTACCCCGAGCTGTTCACCTGGGAGCGCTGGCAACCACCCAGATCCACGAGTGCCCTCCAGCGGGTAGCTCGGGGAACCACTCACCGCGCTCTCTGCCAGCGGCTGGTCATTCAGACCCCGGACATTTAAATTGGTATTTTTGGTTTAATATCCACCGGAGAAAACAGGTGACGTGTTATTATTGTTAACGTGGGGCCCTACAAAAAACCCTGACATTTTGGGAATGCACCCCTCCTACCGCACGGCCTCCTCTTCCCCCCCCCAACAGCCTCCCAGCTCGCTAGCCCTCCCCGGGGGCGCCGTCGCGGCAGCCCAGCGAGCAGTAGAGCCGCGTGCCGGCCGGGATGAAGCGCCGCTGCACCAGGGCGCAGCTGCAACCCGAGCAGCGGAAGCAGGAGGGGCGCGCGTGCCACTGACGGGGGCCGTGCGCCACGCGCTCCTCCTCCGCGTCGATGACGCCGCCGCAGCCCTCGCAGCTCTGCCGGGGGGGGGGGGGGTCGCGAGGTCACGCGGGGTCAGTCTTCCCCATGCCAAGGGCACGTTCATGAAGTGAACGGTCATGGGCTCAGTGGGTTGTGCAGTTGTTATTAGTATTATTCTGCTTGTTTAGGCAGGACAGCCTCACTGAGTCTCAAGACTCCCTTTCAGAAGGGTCCTGCCAAGTTTTCGCAGTCGGGGAGGCGATGTTGCTACTGCTGCTGTGTGTGCTCCCAAATGAGTCATTTGGGTGATTATTCAGCATTGGGATGTCTGCCCAATACCAGTCCCACTGTGTGTGGGCTGTGGGAGGAAACAGCACCCAGGAAGAAACCCATGCGGGACAGGAGGACAACATATAAGCTCCACACACTCGCTCGGACAAACACCCACACACTCACAAGGCAAAGAGAAAGGTCCCCCGTATAGCCTTAACAGACTGTTGGGGCAAGTGCTGTTAGCGAGCACCTGTGAAGGCCAGCGCGGTACACGAGGGGTGTGCGTCGCCAACACCACGCCCGGCTGCCTTTGTCTCCCCAGTGGGATTCGGGTGGCAGGGTTCCTAGCGCAGAGCGCTAATCGCTACACTACCGCTCCCCCAACTCCACACACAAAGACGTCCCGAGTCGGGAATTGAACCGAGGTCCACTTCCTGCTGCGAGGGAGATTCTGAGATTGTGAGCGAAGCGCGGGGTGGCCGTGAGGGTGCGGCACTCGCCTTGGCGTAGGAGCTGCGGTAGCACTGCAGGCAGACGGGCTGCTCCGTCTCGGCCACGTAGGTCTGCCCCGCCAGCTGCACCCCGCACTCCAGGCAGCAGAAGTGGTCCAGGTGCCAGCAGCGTCCCTCGGCGCGCGTGTACTCGCAGCTCACGATCGCCTGCGCGGGCGCCGTGCACAGCGGCAGCGACGGCCGGGAACGAACGCAGCGTCGCGATCAAATCCTCACCGCTATGCCTCACCAGCACGCCAGCACCACCTCTACACCTCACCACCACCATCACCACCTCTACACCTCACCACCACCATCGCCACCTCTACGCCTCACCACCACCATCACCACCTCTATACCTCACCACCACCATCACCACCTCTACACCTCACCACCACCATCACCACCTCTACACCTCACCACCACCATCACCACCTCTACACCTCACCACCACCATCGCCACCTCTACGCCTCACCACCACCATCACCACCTCTATACCTCACCACCACCATCACCACCTCTACACCTCACCACCACCATCACCACCTCTACACCTCACCACCACCATCGCCACCTCTACGCCTCACCACCACCATCACCACCTCTATACCTCACCACCACCATCACCACCTCTATACCTCACCACCACCAGCACCACCTCTACGCCTCACCACCACCATCACCACCTCTATACCTCACCACCACCATCACCACCTCTACACCTCACCACCACCATCGCCACCTCTACGCCTCACCACCACCATCACCTCCTCTATGCCTCACCAGCCAGTCAGCATCACCGCTACACATCACCAGCTAGCTAACTAGCTTTGAGTATTAGCTCCAACCGACCAACCGGCCTTATCCAACTGACTAGTCGGCCACTAGGACAAGCCCTCTCACTGACCCTACCCCTCGCCATATTAGCAGCCACTCGTACCAGCCCCAATAAAACGATACAAACGAGAAAATGAACCGAACCCAACAATGCAAACGAGACCACGCAGACGAGAGGGACGGGACAAACGCGGCACCTCGTTGCACCGCGCGCACACGGGCGGTGCCTCCGCGCCCGTCCCCTGCCCCTCTCCGGCACGGTGGATGTCCTGGGCCCCGGTCTGGTAATGCAGGTGGCAGAAGAGCGCGCCGTTGTCCCAGTAGTAGAGGAGGCTGGCGAGCGGCTCGCGGCACGTGGAGCACACGAAGCAGCGGACGTGCCACATGCGGGGCGCGTCCTCCCCGCCGGCACTCACGGCACGCTCGCCCTCCTCCAGCGTGCCCCCGCACCCCCAGCACACCTGGGACGGACACACGTCGTCGTCATCGTCATCATCGTCTTCATCATCATCGTCACCATCATCATCAACATCGTCATTATCGTTATCATCTTCGCCATCATCGTCATCTTCGTCATTGCCATCGTCGTGAGCCATGGTCTATCCACTTCTGGATGAAAGCATCTCAAATATGTGGTCATTACTCAAGGTGCTACGACGTGAATGGTGAAGCCAGCCCCCACCTGTGTCTCTCCACTTCTGGTGTTTAACACACACAGCACCAGGTAGTACTCATTTAAGGCTGAGTAGACCTAGGGCAGGTCCAGGACCGATTCAGAGAATTGCTCCTGATGTTGGCTGTGGGGTGGGACTCGAGCTTGGGTCGCTACACACACACATATACAGTGAACCCATACCCCGTACAGTACGAACACACACACACACACATATATGGCTAAATGGCACCTAATTGCTGCCAAATCTTGTTGCGACTATTCCCGAAAATCAACCATTACTGTTGAACTGGCCGTGGACAGCCACGGGTTGAGTCAAAGCGCCACTGCCGCTGAGGCCGCATCGAGACTCACGTAGAGAGTCAGCCCCTCGGCAGCGCTCGCATCTCCGCTCTCCGCGCTTCCCAAGGACCTGGCCTCCGCGTGCGTCTCGGGCGAGGGGGTCCGCGCCCCTGGGGGTCTCCTTGGGGGTTTCCCCAAGGGCCCCCCGTTGGCCCCCACGGGGGCCCAGTGCGGGACGCAGTCGGCCATGCTGAGCGTCGCCTCGTCTCGGGGCCCGCGGTCGTTCACGTGCGGATCTCCCCCCGGCGCCTCGGCCACCTGCGACAGAACGTCGAGCGTCACCAAGCCTGTCGGCTCTCTCCAGGGTGCCGCCCCAGCTCTGTGCGTAACGGACATCAGCCACAGTGACGCAGCGCGGCGCAAGGGAGCGCAGTGCCTACACTGGCGCTCCACAGCTACCTGGACCCTGGGTTAGATTTCTAACTGAGGTGCCTTTCTGTGTGGAGTTTATACGCTATCCCCCTGTTCTGCTCGGGTTTCCTCCGGATTCTCCGGTTTCTTCTCATAGCTAAACCCATACGCCGCAGTGGAACTGCTATTGGCCAAACCCATATCCAAATGCTGAAAATGTACCGACAAATCACTCAATTGGGATCACCCACAGCAGCAACATCGCCCCCGACTGCGTCGAACTTGGCATGACCTCCTGAAAAAGAGGCTTGAGACTCAGCCAAGCTATCGTGGGGTAACAAGCGTCGTGATGATAATAATAATCAAAATATCCAAAATGCAGTACTAGTATATGTTGGGCTGGGCAGTGGGCCGTGAGTGGACAGGGCCTCCCTGCTGCTCAACACATCACCGTGAGACCTCCCGGCTCTCGTCAGGTGCTGTACTCTGGCGAGCCCTGGGCGGTGTCGCTTCCTAACAAAGCGACCGGCCAAGATCCATCCACTGCCAGATGGTGTGAGAGATCCATAATCGAGATTGTTGGGTTCGATCGCGTAAATATAAATGGGTCCTTAAACCCGCCACCACTCGACAGCCAATTAGTTGGTTTGTCACGTAAACAAAACATGTCAGTTACTAGTTTAGCACACCCGGTGTGTTGGAGAGTAAAACCTACAACTTGTAATGTTGTGGGGCACGAATTGACATGTCTTGTTCACGTGACAAACATTCCTAGCCGGCGGTGTCGGGTGGTGGCGGGTTTAAGGACGCGTTATCTATTTACGCGATCTAACCCAAAACCCTCTACCATAGATCAAAATTGGTCGCGAAACTGTCGTGAGAGATGAGAGGCAATGTAACGCACGTAAACACTGCCGCATCATCATCATCTTCATCATCAGTGCGATATATCCACTGCTGGATGAAGGTGGCCGGGAAGGCACGCGCGGGCTTCGCGCGAGGGCGTCGCTCTCAGATCCTATCGGGCCGGAAGCTCCACCCCGACCACCACCGAGGAGTCGCTCAGCCGCCGCCGCGCGCAGCTGCAGCTTCCACGGTGGCCGCCACGCCGTGCGTGGTGTGCGTTGTGTGTGCGTGGTGTGCGCGCCGTGCGTGGTGTGTGCGCGCCGTGCGTGGTGTGCGTGGTGTGGTGTGTGTGGTGTGTGTGGTGTGTGTGTGGTGTGCGTGGTGTGCGTGGTGTGTGTGGTGTGCGTGGTGCGCGTGGTGTGTGCGTGGGGTGCGTGGTGTGCGTGGTGTGTGTGGTGTGCGTGGTGTGCGTGGTGTGTGTGGTGTGTGTGTGGTGTGCGTGGTGTGCGTGGTGTGTGTGTGGTGTGCGTGGTGTGCGTGGTGTGCGTGGTGTGTGTGGTGTATGTGGTGTGCGTGGTGTGCGTGTGGTGTGCGTGGTGTGCGTGGTGTGTGCGTGGTGTGCGTGGTGTGTGTGTGTGTGTGTGTGCGTGGTGTGCGTGGTGTGGGTGTGGGTGTGTGTGGGTGTTGGTGTGGTGTGTGTGGTGTGAGTGGTGTGCAGTGGTGTGTGTGTGGGTGGTGCGTGGGGTGGTGTGGTGGGTGTGGTGTGATGTGGTGTGTGTGGTGTGCGTGGTGTGTGTGGTGTGAGTGGTGTGTGTGGTGTGCGTGGTGTGGTGCGTGGTGTGGTGTGGGGTGTGTGTGTGGTGTGAGTGGTGTGTGTGTGGTGTGCGTGGTTGGCGTGGTGTGTGTGGGTGTGTGGTGTGGTGGTGTGGTGGTGTGTGTGTGGTGTGAGTGTGGTGTGCGTGGTGTGGTGGGTGGTGGTGAGTGGTGTGAGTGGTGTGCGTGGTGTGCGTGGTGTGCGTGGTGGTGTGGTGGTGTGCGTGGTGTGCGTGGTGTGGTGTGTGGTGGTGTGGTGTGCGTGGTGTGCGTTGGTGTGTGGTGGTGTGTGGTGTGCGTGGTGTGCGTGGTGTGTGTGTGGTGTGTGGTGTGCGTGGTTGGTGCGTGGTGTGTGTGTGGTGTGAGTGGTGTGCGTGGTGTGTGCGTGGTGTGCGTGGTGTGCGTGTGTGCTGTGTGGTGGTGTGCGTGGTGTGCGTGGTGTGCGTGGTGGTGTGCGTGGTGTGCGTGGTGTGCGTGGTGTGTGTGTGGTGTGCGTGGTGTGCGTGGTGTGCGTGGTGTGTGTGTGGTGTGCGTGGTGTGTGTGGTGTGCGTGGTGTGCGTGGTGTGTGTGGTGTGTGTGTGGTGTGCGTGGTGTGCGTGGTGTGTGTGTGGTGTGCGTGGTGTGCGTGGTGTGCGTGGTGTGTGTGGTGTATGTGGTGTGCGCGCGCCACCACCAGTGCGCCTCGCCCACACCGACACCCTCTACGCGTGGCGGTCGTGATGATGCTGGTGATGGTGATGATGATGATGCTGGTGATGGTGATGCTGGTGATGGTGATGATGATGATGCTGGTGATGGTGATGCTGGTGATGGTGATGCTGGTGATGGTGATACTGGTGATGATTGATGCTGATGATGATACTGGTGATGATTGATGCTGATGATGATACTGGTGATGATGATGATGGTGATGATGATGCTGGTGATGCTGGTGATGGTGATGATTGATGCTGGTGATGGTGATACTGGTGATGATGATGCTGGTGATGGTGATACTGGTAATGATGATGCTGGTGATGCTGGTAATGGTAATGCTGGTGATGGTGATGCTGGTGATGGTGATGCTGGTGATGGTGATGCTGGTGCTGGTGATGATGATGCTGGTGATGATGATGGTGATGATGATGCTGGTGATGATGCTGGTGATGATGCTCACACGGCGGCCCGGGCTGTGTGATCGTGAGCGGGCACAGCTCCAGAGAACGTTCTTCGCGAACCGGTGCCTGTGTTTGCTTTCAGATCTCTATTTGCTGAATTGCTTCCCGTTATGTTTTGTTGTCGCTTTGGTTGTTCTGGTGACCCACGTCGATCTTCAACAGTCGCTGAGCACGGGGGCCCAGACTCCCAACACGTCAAGCGGCCAGCAAGAAACGGCACCGTGACAGTCGCAATCGATAGTCGTTGACACGTTTCTTAAAACGAGCGAGGTTATTATTGTAAGAGCTTGGGGGAAAGAGACGCTGATCACTGGAGAGGGAATTCCAAAGTGGAGCAGAGCTAGGAAGGAAGCAGAGAGAGAAGTGTTGTGCCCTGCAGTGTGGTGAGTGGGTGTGTAGTGACACGCTATGTGGTGGTGTCATCGTCATTGTAGCCTTTCTCATCTTCGTTATTGCGCTTGTGAATCCAGGAAAGCCTCACTGAGTCTCAAGACCCTCTTTCAGAAGGGTCCTGCCAACGTCTTTGCAGTAGCGGAGGCGATATTGCAGCTGTGATCCCAAGTGAGTAATTCGCAGGTAATGTTTCAGTATTGGGATGTTGGGCTCATACCAATGATTATGATTTAGCTTATGGGAGTAAACCGGTAAACCCAGAGGAACCCCGTGCCCGAACAGGGCGAGAGAACTCCCAAACTGCGCGCAGCATGGGGCGCCCGAGGCGTGAATCGAGTCCTCGTGCTCCTCGCCGCGAGTGCGACCACTGCCACCCCGCGGCAGCTCCCCACGCCTGCTCCGTGCAGCGGTCATTGTTGTTGGGGAGGGAGGCGAAAGCCATCGGTCAGGCTGCTGCTGCTGTCCCTCTGCTTGCGCCTTGTATGGGCACGCCGCCGCGCCTCCCTGCGAGTGAACGAGGAGGCGGCACGCCTGGGATCACAGCGGTACGGAGGGCACCGCGGTGGTGGTTGGTGGTGGTGGTGGTGGTTGGTGGTGGTTAGAGGTGGTGGTTGGTGGTGGTTGGTGGTGGTGGTGGTTGGTGGTGGTGGTTGGTGGTGGTGGTTGGTGGTGGTGGTGCGTGTCCATCATTGACAATATCTCAAGCGAGGTGACGGAATCGCTCCCGGAAGGACGCACCCCAAAAACTTGCGCCCGAAAATGATCACACACATACTGTGGCTGCTGATGCGATTACGATGATGCTGCTGATAATGCTGCAGTTTCTGCTGCTGCTACTCATGGCGATTGACGATGCTGCTGCTGCTGCGCTGCTGCTGCTGCTTCGACTGCTAATGATGCTGCTTGTTCTGCAACTGATCATAGTCGATACTGGTGATGATGCTGCGGGCCAAATCACACCCCGTGGGGCCCTCCGACGCCTTAAAACTAAATAGGCAGTTATCACATCTGACACTGTGACGGCGAAGTGTGCCCCTCCCAAAGCGCGGGGCCCGGGGCGGTCGCCTCGATTCGTAGTACCCGAGCGACTGCTCTGCTGCTAATGATGCTGCTGCTGATGATGCTGCTGATGATGATGATGCTGCTGATGATGATGATTATGCGACTGCTGCTTCTGCCGACGACCCTGCTCATGCTGCGGCGAGCAGCGATGGAAGCGAGGAGAGCTGTGAGTCACCCCTGTTTCTGGCAAAGTGCTAAAATGCCAAAGACAAACAATCCCCCTATAGCCTTTAAAGGCTATTGGGACAAGTGCTGTGAGCGAGTAGCACCTATGAATGCCGACACGGCTCACGAGGGGGTGGGTAGTCAGCACTACAGAAACACTGGTACACTCACACACACACAACCACACACCCACACACACACACACCCATTACCCCTTTACTCACCCCCGGCCCTGCCACCACAACCAACTGCTGGCGACTCGAGATAACCGCATGATGGGGCTGCGTGTAATCTCGAGCGTTATGATTATGTACACATCATAGCGAGACGATATGAATATGTCGATGTGACGAGTATCTGAACCGGTCCTGCGCACCCCCTAGATCGACTCAGCCTCAAATGTGTACCTGGTGCGGTGTGTAAACATCGCCACTGGGGAGACAAAGGCGGTCGGGCGTGGCGGTGCTGGCCACCCACCCCTAATGTTTCGTGCCGGCCTTCAGAAGTGCTCGTCAACAGCACTTGCCCCAACACTCTGTTAATGTTATATGGGGGATGTTTGTCTTTGTGTATAAATGTATATGTTACGTGAGTGTATACGTGTATGTGAGTGTATACGTGTATGTGAGTGTATACGTGTGAGTGTGTAAGCCTGCGTGAGTGTGTTTGGGTAATGGGGAGCGGTGGTGCAGTGGTTTTCCCAGAGCACTACGAACCCAGCGACCCGAGTTTGATCTCCGATCACGGCTAACGTCAGTGGCGAGTGACACCTGAACGGGGCATGTGTCCACTCTGCTTCACTGGCCCTCACTGCCCTGCGCGGTGAGGTTTGGTCAAACAAGCCCCGATGACTGGCATGGTTGTTTGGCCTTCATTCAGCAGTGGAAATCAGTTTGACGTTCTAACCACGCGAGCGCGTTACTCGTGGCACGCGTCCGCGAGGTCACCACCGGGGAGATGGAGCGACCCCAAACATTGCGCGTGCACCGAGCAGGTGCCGCGTGGGCCGTTGCGTCGCAGGATCGTGCGGGTGGCGGCGGCACGAGGGGAGAAGGCCGTCTTCATCCAGCAGTGGATTGGCCGTGCCTGATACCGACGACGACGGCGATTTATAACCGCGAGCCTCGAGGCGGAGCGCCGCCCCGCGGCACTGCCGGGCGGCACCGCCGGGCCGCGAGGAGCTCCCCGGGCAGGGCGCTGAGTGGCCCCTGCCGTGGGATTCGGCGGCATCATCGCCCAGAGACGCGAGGGCGCACACGGGATGCGCCCTCGCGTCTCTGTGCCAAATCTTCTCTCCTGTCCTGCCCGCCCCCACCATCACAATCACCCACCACATTCAGCCCCCCCCCCCACACACACACTTTACTTTCCTTACCCCCTCTCCTTCCTGGGCCCCCCTAACAGCCCTGCCCCGAGCGCCGAGTTCGCTACTCCGCTCCCCGATAAGGCAGTAGGAGAGAGTAACAGGAAATTCCTGGGTAATGAGTCAAGTTTTGAGAATTCCGCCGCCGGATTCTGAGAGAGAGAGAAGTCGAACCGTCGATGGGCGCTCTGCGAGCGGCGCACGCGAAGATCCTGGCAGGAGGAGCGGGGGGGGGGGGGCACGCGGCCCCCACCCCGCCCTGGGCTCACCGGGAGCCGGGTTCGGCCTGTGGGTTGGGTGCCAACCGTCACAAAGACTCGCGCGGAGACCCGTAGACGGGCCTCTGGATGAGTCGATATGTCTGTCTGTGCGTCTTTGTTGTCTGAGTTGAATATTCTCCTCTTCAAATTTGCCTTCACCACTCGCCTAGGTCTGGCCGTTCAGCCTGCAGGCTCTGTCCATTTCCTGCTTTCCATACACGGGTGCATTGGGATCTAGGAATTAAAGGCGCCGTAAAACATGTGAATTATTATGTGTCGCTTTGTGAGTATGTGTCTCTCTGTTCGAGTCTATCCATCTCTCTGTTCGAGTCTATGTGTCTCTCTGTGAGTCTATTTACATCACGATGAATCTACTTGTCTCTATGAGAATATATGTGTCTCTGTGTATGTATCTCTCTGCTGTTATTCCACAGAGCAAACTAGGACACGTCTCTCTGTCAGCCCAGGTCTATGATCATAATCGCGCAGTGTCCCTGCGATAGAGTTGAGCACAGCGGGACTGGCACGAAACGTCTGGACAAATCGATGCCCACCGCCTCCCGAACGCAGCCGATTCCTCGACTGGGTTGGTCGTCACGATCACTCGAGTGGACTGCTCTGTGATGGATCCCTCTGCACGCGAGTCGTGACCTCAGTCGTGCGAGAATGGGAATGGACTCTTTTGGGTGAATGGGAATTGTGCGCGAATTACAATGAGTGATGCTCCGCCACAAAGAACGAGGCGGAACAAGACAGATAGCACAGAGGCAATGGGACAGGCAGGAACGAGAAACAATTAAAACAACTAATTACCAACAAACACATCCATCGAGCCACGGAACGACCCACTTATTGAGGTATTATCTATAGTTACAAAGATACCCGTGAACTTTAAGTAAATACCATCTAACATAAATACGTGTAGGCTGACGGAATAACCAATACATTTATATAGGACCCACAGACTTATATAGATACCCACAAACTCACGTAGATGGCCATATACCTACATATATACACATGGACTTACATAGAGACCCGTACACTTTTGTATATACCAATCAACTTGCCTAGAGACACATCGACGTATGTAGAGACCGACCAACTCACACAGAGACCCACGCACTGACAATGCTCAGGGTGCTGGCGTGTGGCCGCTCGTGCGCTTTGTGTGTTGAGCCAAAGTGCGTTCCTCCACGCGCCGCCACACAGAGAGACAGAGAGAGATCACTCACTCTCCTTTAAAGGAGCTGACGGGGCAGCGCGGTGAGCGGCACTAACTCTACCACTACACTAACTCCGCACTAACTCCGCACTAACTCTACCACTGCACTACCACTGCACTAACTCTACCACTACACTAACTCTACCACTGCACTAACTCCGCACTAACTCTACCACTACACTAACTCTACCACTGCACTAACTCCGCACTAACTCCGCACTAACTCTACCACTACACTAACTCTACCACTGCACTAACTCCGCACTAACTCTGCACTAACTCTACCACTACACTAACTCTACCACTGCACTAACTCCGCACTAACTCTGCACTAACTCTACCACTGCACTAACTCCGCACTAACTCTACCACTACACTAACTCTACCACTGCACTAACTCTACCACTGCACTAACTCCGCACGAACTGTACCACTGCACTAACACTGCACTAACACTGTTACGAGTGAACGGTGTTTCTGACAAAGCCGTCACTGTGGAAGTGGCGCCTCTGAGCGCGTTACTCGAGATACGCGACTTGCATGGCATCTCATCTCAACACATTTTAAAGGGCGCCCTCAGTGGCAGCTGCCCCTGTGCAGCACGAGGTGACTCAGCACCTGGCGAACATTAGTCTGCTGTGTGTGGAATCCCAATCGAGTCATTTCCGCTTTTATTTTTTAGAATTTGGCAAATTTGTACAATGACGACGGTAGGCGATGGTCCACTCCTGCGAATGGCGTCACGGGATCTGTAAGGTCCTCTGTGAGGCAGATGGAGCACAGGAGTAGTAGTCAAAGTACTTCATGTTTCCTACACCACCACAGCAGTATTAACCGGGCCGGCCCGTCCGTTTCGAACTTCTGAGATAGCAAGCGGCGAACGCGCCACCCTCCGGGGGCTGCGGTGTCACCGCGCCCCACGCTCGCTGCTCACCTGGCGAGGCGAGGGCCTGACCAGTCCAGCCGCGTGCTGCACCGCCGCCCGCTGCTCCCTCTCCGCCACTCCTCGAATTCCGTTCTGCGCCGGTACCGGAGGAGGAGAAGAAGGAGCAGGGACGGGAGGAGGTGGAGGAGGTGGAGGAGGAACCCTGTCACCATCGCCGTTGACGTCGCGGAGTTTCATCGACTGCGGTGACGACGCTGGCAGTAGACGGTGACCCACGGCCCCGTCACACAGGGGGGGCGACCCCGACCTCTGGGCCCCCACGAGGCCCTCTGGGGTCGTGCTGCCCTCCTTCAAATCCCTCTGCTGGAGCTGCTGGAGCTGCTGCTGCTGCTGCTGGAGCTGCTGCTGCTGCTGCTGGAGCTGCTGCTGCTGCTGGAGCTGCTGCTGCTGCTGCTGCTGGAGCTGCTGCTGCTGCCCCGCCTGCTCCCGCTCCACGAGGTGCTGCTCCGGGCTGCATTTGCAGTTGACGCAAACTCTCCTGCGAGGGCACCACGAGACGAGAGGTGGCCGCCTTACTCAGTCGCCCTGCACCGCAGTGCGACACCCAGATAGTCCACCAGCACCCAGATAGACCACCAGCAACATCATCGCCATCAGTTTGAATTTATACGGCGCTCGCTTTTATGCCTCCACATCTCAAAGCACCTTGCATCGCATCTCATCTCTACAACATTAGAAAGGGCACCCCAGTGGCAGCTGTCCCTGTGTGGCACGAGGTGACGCACAGGGACGAGGTGACACACAGGGACGAGGTGACGCACAGGGACGAGGTGACACACAGTCTGCTCTTTGTGGAATCCCAATCGAGACCGTGACACCGGTGGCACGTGATGGCCAACTCTTGCGAACGACGCCACGGGGTTTGTGACGTTCACTCGCAGGCGGCGCCGAGTCGTTTGTGGATGGTAGAGGGCGACGGGATATATCCCACGCACGTGAAGGAACGCGAATTGTCAACTCAGAATGCTACACACAGCGCAATGTCTCTGGACGTGGCCCTGACGCCGTGGAGCACCTGCAACACAAACTGATTTCATCGCTCCATCTCCTCGCCAGGGCGTCCACTGGGACGCATTTCGTGCCCTGTGCCGCTGGGGGGTGAGCGTCCTGGGGCGCGTCACGGGACGATGGCCAGGAGGAGTCAGGGAGCCAAGGGGGTTGACGTCTAAGAGACACGTGCAGTTTAGTGCGTAGAACCAGCCTTAGCAGAGAGGGTATACGTCGACTAATAGCAGCACAGGCATCGCAATGTCACTTAAATCCCATTGTTAATTGCACTGCTTTGCTTAAAAGCAATGCTATGTTCAACACAACAAGACGGCTGTTTTGCAAAACTCATGATGACATTAAACCCATGATAATGTGATGTCACGTCTCACCACCGCATAATGTGCTATGCGTGTGGCGGTTGTGGTGAGCGTGGTGAGTGTAGCCATCTAAGTTCTTCGGCAAGCCACTGCCATCGCAGTGCGACATAAGAGTTGCTGAATCGCGGCTTCGGGTTTTGCGAGACTTCAAACTCCACTCCGGATTTACGGTCTCTCCAGTTGGGACGCGTGGTTATATGCGAGTCTAAGGGTCTCTCTGTGAATGCACCTGCATATCAAGACATCAACTTGCAATCATGATCACCTGAGCCTGTAAAGCCCGGGGCAGACTATACAGAATGCTGGGACTGCAATAGGATTGCCACCTGTGTGGCATCTGCAGCAAGACCGGTCCCGATGTCTGGTACGAGTCTTGCTGTGATAAACTTCATGGCAGGAGCCGGCACGGTTTGAATGGCAGACCCAGGCTGAGTGAGAATCGTGTCCGGGTTGCTCTGTGGAGAAGGAGGCCGCTGCCAGACCGGAGCCACCGCTAGATTTGTTGTCGCCGCTATCGCCCGGACTCGAATTTCCTGGCCAAGTTCCTTCTCTCGGAGTTGCGACTGACCACAGCGCGCGGTCCGGAGAGAGTGGGCGTCAAACGTGTATGTGTGCGATCATACAGTGCAACTAGCGTGTGTATGTGTGAATGTGTGCGGTTGTGTGTGGTACTGAGCCTCCCCTAGGTCTACCCAGCCTCAAATTAGTACCTGTTGCGATGTGTAAACTTTGCCAATAGGGAGACAAAGGCGGCGGGCCGTGATCCTGGCCATCTACCCCCTTGTGTGCCGTGCCGGCCTTCATAGGTGTCCGCTAACAACTCTGGCTCCAAAAGTTTGTTGAGGCTATGCGGGTGATCTTTGCTTTTGTGTGTGCGTGTGCACGTGTGTGTGCGTGTATGTGTGCACGTGCGCGTGTGTGTGTGTGCGTGTGTGTGTCTCCGATAACCCTATCGCTCTCATCCACACGCCGGCTCGGCTCCACTGAACCCGCGCGTCGGCGGAGACTCCGGCCCTGCGGTCGCAGTCACAGGATTTGTGGCGCGTTCCACCCGGATCCTCCTCCTTCTCGCGTTGTTGTTGTAGCTGATAATGATGATGCGCATATCTAGCTGATGAAGATGATGAGCACAGCTCGCTGATGATGAGCACATTTAGCTGATGTCGACGATGATGATGAGCATATCTCGCGGGCGTTATAAAACCGGGCCAGCTATCGCGACGGGGATTCCCCCCTGAGTGTGGAACGCAAGAGGCTTCCTCCTGGTGTCGCCGCCGCTGCGACAGACTGGTGGCACGTGACCGCGAGCAGCCACGGCCCAGAGAAAACCCCACACCTTGACGTGGTGTGCCGGGTGCGGGTTCCTCACCTCCAGTAATGGAGCTCCAGGCCGGGGCAGCGATCTTTGCACGCGGAACAGGGGGCCCCGGCCCCCCACTCGTGAGAGATGGTCACCTGGGGGGGGGGGGGGGGGGGTCGGATCGTGCAAGATTACAAAGTGTACCCAGGAATGTTGACAGCGACGCGCTTTCCCAGAGCGCACCCACGAGTGCTCGCGCCCTCGTTAGCGCAAGGGCCTCCACTCCAAGGTGGGAACCCCTCTAGAGGGTGATTGGCCTACTCTTCCACATTCACACGCTTGGTGCTTTGATGGATGACGAGGGCCTCCCACGCTGTGCGGGTTGTGGGGGTTGTTTGACCATACTTCACCACGCTGGTCAGCGTGGGCTGGCAAAGCAATTGTTGAATCTGTTATGAGGAAGGAACTGAATGGAACGCTGCGCAGATTGTTAATTATTCAGCCCGCGTCTAAGTTTCAACAAAATACGTTTTACTTTCACGTGTACGCCAACACGTGGTCCGTTTAAGCCACTCAACATCAACGACCAGGGCCACTCCACTGCTGGATGAAGGCCTCCCCTGAGCCGCCTCCATTCTGTGATATAATAATCCACCTACTATATATTGTATAATCCCCTTTTGCACGTGGATGGCGTTTGCTGAAATGCCTCAGCAGCTCATCACATCTAATCTCACACATTGAAGGGCACCCCCAGTAGCAGCTGTCCACGTGTGGCACAGTGTGACTGACGCAGCATTGGCGAGCAAGCGGGCACGAGTCTGCTTGTGGGGTCGATGGTCGCTCCTCTGTGTGATCCCAGTGAGTCATTTGCGGTGTCATTTGAAGAATTTGTCAAACTTTGCGTCGACCGTGAGGCCGTTACACAATGGGCTAACTTATTACAAATGCTACCATGAACGGGTTTTAAAATAAAAACTTTGAGTGTTGGTTGATTGTATTTGTTACACGGATGATGATCCCGTTTGGCCAGTTTGCCGGCGATGTTACACGGGAGATCCGTGGCGAGCGACAGAGCGGCACACAGACGAAGAGAGCGCGGGGTCCTTGAGGTTAGAACAAGAAACGGTCGCGGGGTTTAGCGGTCGTGAACGAAATTGGCACGAGTCAAATAACAGCGCAAATGCAACGCGAACAGGCGAGGTGCGGGTGAGATCTCCGTGTTCGTTTCACAGTGACATGAACTCGCTTCAATCGAACGCAGCGCAAACTTAATGTGGGAGCAAGAAGCGCCAGGAAAACAGACGGCGCTGGGCAGGGGTAGTAAGCTCCGTGTGTTGGTCTGATAGGGACATCAACACACGCAAAGGAATTGCGCCCTACATGTGACTTTGCATTGATGTCGCACCTCCGATGAGCACGGCTGGCTACATACGGTGCGAAAGAAGTTCAACATACATGCACATCACGTGCCCATTGTTTTTGTGTAGATTTCTATTTGCTGCATTGCCCTTCTTAAGTCTCCACGTTGCCGCGTTTGACAGCTGGCGACAACCCAGGGCCCTCTCGAGCTCTCGCCCGGCTCCTGGCGACTCGCACTGCCACGAAACGGCGCCTGTCCGTCCGCGTTCACCAAACTGCGCCATTCAAACGCGAAGCCGTCACACACCGCACGCAGCCGACAGTCCGTGGTCACGGTCAACTGGAGGGTGTCATCACGACCAGTGCCGCTGATGCCTTGTTCAGGGAAGTGAAGTTGGCTACAGGGCAGGAGACGTCATGGCTAGAAGGGATGGAAATGATGATGGCAGACGGACGAGACTGGTAATGGAATGGCAGCCAAATGAGGGAATACAAACGAGAGAACGATAACCAATACACACAAAGCTTGATGAATGTGTATGTTTAAAAATTATAATTTAATATCACTGGGAGTCGGGAGAAGGAGCATGTAGATCGGACAACAGCAGCAGCGCGAGATGGCAATCGCTTCATCCAGCAGTGGACAGCCCACGGTTCGGTTAACAATCGCATTGCAAACACACAATAGCTTCTCGCTCATGCATTTTGTATAATTCGCTTTGAATAATTTAAACTTCGCAGGCTCCCTAAGAGATTTCGGTTTATTTATCCGGCGTGCGATATCGGGGCTCAGCTGTCCCCTCGGGGCACGAGGTCCTGCTCCGTGATGCATCGTGGCAATTACCCACACACACAAAGACAAAGGTCCCCAGTGTAGCCCACACCAGCTGTTGGGGCAAGCGGTGTTAGCGAACACCTATTAAGGCCAAGAAAACAATACACTATCCTGTAAAATACACACCTTCACATGTACACAATCGCTTGCACCTAGCCTGGCTTGTGCCAGGCTAGGTGCACTTTGACAAACATGTACACATACAGCCCTACACACATTTATACACACATATAAATAAACGTCACACACACAAAGATGCCCCGTATAGCTTGAACATACTTTTGGGGCAAGTGCTATTAGCGAGCACCGACGAAGACCGGCACGTCGCACGAGAGGGTGGGTGGCCAGCAGCACGCCCGACCGCCTTTGTCTCCCAAGTGGCGACGTTTATACATCGCACTTAGTACTCATTTGAGGCTGAGTCGACCTAGCGGATGCCCAATACCGGTTCAGATCATCGTCACCGGTGTTGACCGTGAGCGGGAATCGAACTCTGGTCGCCGGGTTCATAGCGCAGTGCGCTAACCACTGCGCCACCGCTCCCCATACGCATGCATACGCACAGATATATCTCACCACACGCAGCTTCACACGCGCAAAAATGTTCATGTCTGACCTTCTTAAAGCGCTCGTCCAAATCCATAATGGAACACAAAACCCCGGTCGTGCGAGTCGCGATGTCCTCTATTTACTGCTCGCGCTCCCAGGTCTGCGTCAAATGCACGCCGCCGACTCCACTCGCGACGGGGGAAGCTGCCGCGGGTCACTCGGAGACCCCCCCCCGGTCCCGGAACGCGCGACGGCGGGGAGAGGGCTCGCCACTGAGCCGGAGATCCACTCTCAGCCACCCCCTCCCCTGCACCCCACAGCCTCAACCCAGCTCCCTCCACTCCAACACCACCACCCACCCACAACGCGACAACTACAACCACTCTCTACCCAATGCCACCACCACCACAACCACTCTGTACCCAATGCCACCACCACTACCACCCAAACAACCCTTACATCACCACCACAACCACTCTGTACCCAATGCCACCACCCAAACCACCCTTACACCACCACCACCACACACACTCTGATCTACACACACACACTGACTTACAAACACACACTGACCTACACACACACACTGATCTACACACACACACTGAACTACACACACACACTGATCTACACACACACACATACTGATCTACACACACACTGATCTGCACAAACACACTGACTTACACACACACTCTGATCTACACACACACACTCTGATCTACACACACACATTGACTTACACACACACTGACCTACACACACACACTGATCTACACACACACACTGACTTACACACACACACTGACTTACACACACACACTGACTTACACACACACACACTGACCTACACACACACACTGACCTACACACACACACTGACTTACACACACACACTGACTTACACACACACACTGACTTACACACACACACACTGATCTACACACACACACTGACCTACACACACACACTGACTTACACACACACACACACTGACTTACACACACACGTATGCACGCGGCTCCCAGGCCAGGGGACCGGACCCGGACCCCTGCAGAGCTTCCTTGGGGGGGGGGGGGGGGGGAGCCGAGCGGGTCCGACCTCCCGGCGCGCCACTCGCGGCGTCCCGCTGACACAGCCCCCACCCTCTCGTGATGGCTTGTGACCCGTGCTCTCGACAAGGACCCCAGCTATGAGTCTGCGCTGTCGATCACGATAGAGGGGTTCGCGTTTGGCAGTTCACCGGCGTTGGTGCAGGCGAGCCTGACTCTGCTGATGAGACACTTAATGTCGAAACAGGCGGCCGTGAGTGTTGAGCCAATGCTGCCGACATTGAACCACTCCCGAGCGGATTCGGGGCGCGTGCGGCGGATGAGAAGTGTAAACCAAACTGCACACGTGTTGTGGACGTGGAGAGGCTGATGTGGGAAGGAGACGCGCTGCTGGTTCATGCTGACTTCACAACGGCGCCGGTGATTGGTTAGTTTTGTGTTTAGTCGATGTTTGTGTCTAGTCGATGTTTGTGTTTAGTCGATGTTTGTGTTTAGGTCTTAGTCGATGCTTGTGTTGTGTCGATGTTTCTGGCTCTGCGTGATGCTCACAGCGCCGCCGTGTGGCCAACCTGCGCCTGCGGAGAGCGGTGGCGCAGCGGTTAGCACACGACGAACCCGGTCACCCGAGTTCGATTCCCGCTCACTGCCATCAGCAGAGATATATAAACCGGTCCTAGGTCTCCCCGAGGTCGACTCAGCCTCAAATGAGTACCTGGAGCGATGTGTACACATTGCCCACAGGGAGACAAAAGCGGCAGAGCGTGGTGCTGGCCACCCACCCCTTCCCGTGCCGTTTCGGCCTTCATCGGCGTTCGCTAACAGCAATTGAACTTCATGAATGGAAGTCAACATCGTAATTGATGTTTGTGTTTTGGCGACTCCGTCCCACCGCGCACATGAACGCCGCGACCCGCCTGGCGCGGATCGTGCCGTTGTCGTGTCGGCCAAGCGCAGCGGCGAGGACGCATGCCGTCGTGACTAAACACAAGCTTGACACTTTGACGAGCGCCTCGTGTGGAGCTCGTCGAGAGGCACAGATCGCCGTGTCGCTCGCCTTCAACAGACACAGAATGACGTCGCAGCGCAGCTTGTGCGAGAGCCGGGGGCTCACGGGACCCCGGGGTCTCGCCATCAGGTGAATTTGCCCCAACAGCCCGTGAAGGCGACACGGGGGATCTTTGTCTTTGACACCTGCAGGACTCAAGTGTGACACACGGTGGCGCTGTGACACAAACACTCGTGGATGGACGCAGCCGAGTCTGAATGTGACGCTGCACAGTGAGTGGGCATATTTATCTCATAGAGGCTCCTCAGTCATAGTGAGTGTGTGGGTCTCTGTGTGAGTCTATGGGTCTCTGTGTGAGTAGTTTGTGGGTCTCTGTGTGAGTCTGTGGGTCTCTGTGTGAGTCTGTGGGTCTCTGTGTGAGTAGTCTGTGGGTCTCTGTGTGAGTCTGTGGGTCTCTGTGTGAATAGTCTGTGGGTCTCTGTGCGAGTCTGTGGGTCTCTGTGTGAGTAGTCTGTGGGTCTCTGTGTGAGTCTGTGGGCCTCTGTGTGAGTAGTCTGTGGGTCTTTGTGTGAGTCTGTGGGTCTCTGTGTAAGTCTGTAGTCTCTGTGTGAGTCTGTGGGTCTCTGTGTGAGTCTGTGGGTCTCTGTGTGAGTATGTGGGTCTCTGTGTGAGTATGTGGGTCTCAGTGTGAGTCATGAGACACAGGCAGTATGGCATTGGAAGAGGAGACTGGGAGGTCTTGGACTTGAACCTGACAGGGAGTCGACAGCAAGGATGGCTGGGGGTGGGAGGGCAGTTCAATGCTGTGGGGGCAGCAGAGGAGAGCGAGCGACTTCCAGTTGGGCAGAGGCCGAGTAGCGCGGCTTGAGCGGGAAGTCGGTGGTGATGCGACGTGTGGTGGTGGTGTGCTGTGTCCTGAGCACACAAGCAGTGACACCGTCTCAAAGTGACGGTGTTCAACTTCGTCGGAGCAAAGTCTCAAATATCGATTAAAAACACGGCGAGATGTCGTGGCTATAATTAGAGTGAGAGGTAGAAAGAGGAACACGCGGATCCGAGAGCACACACGCAGCAGGTTCGAGACACCGCGTTCACTGCGAAGACATTGAGGGTTGGGCGAGAAGGGAGGATGGCCGACGGTCGAGACTAACCACGGAATGGCAGCCAAAGGACGGAACGCGATCATGAGAGGACGCCACCGCGGAGATGGAGCAATACAATGAGCTCATGCGGGACCATGAAGAATGGAGATGGCCTGGGGAGGCCTTCTTCCAGCAGTGGATAGATCATGGATGATGACAATGAACGTACTATTGGAGGGGATGGGAGGCAAGGGAGGGGGTGGTGGTTCGGGTCATTGCTCAGTGCGCGAACGACTGCGCCACTGCTCCTCTGCACAGACCACGCGCGCCTCATCCCCTCCGCTGGCGATGCGAGTTGTGTGTTGAGTGGATGTCGCGACTCGGGAATCGACTCGCATTTGGCTCGTGCATTGAGTCGCGTTGGGATCATGTTTCCACGTTGCTTTCCTCTCGCGTAATTTATGCGACATTAACATAATTTATTTTATAAAAACACATTCATAATATAGGTGTTTTGGGCTAGATCGGGTAAATATCAATGTGTCGTTAAACCGGCCACCAGCCGACACAGCCAATTAGTAAGGTTGGTCACTTAAACAGAACGTGCCAATTGGCACCCACTGTTAGGCTCACAGTGGACGATATTGGTCGCGAAAGCCGACGCGTTAAATATATACACATCATTAACCCATTCTTGTTAACCCATCATTATTAACCCATTCTTATTAACGCATTCTTATTAAACCATTATTATTGACCCATCCTTATTGACCCATCCTTATTGACCCGCTGATGTCCACACTCGCATGTAGCGTGGACACTTTGAGGAACCGCTCACTCGTGGTCGTTGGCGATGACTGCGCAGGCAGATCCCTGACTTGGCGTCGCTTCTGCATTTCGTTTGGCTCAGGTCCAGCGCCAAGAATGACAAACACCATCGACTCCTCTTGGTGCGCAGTGCGGCTGGGGCTGCCACGCAACCCAAACAACGGACCACACAGAAAACCCATAGATATCCAGAGAGATAGGCAGACACACAGAGAGACATCAAAGACAAGCCGAGAGTCGTGTGGCTGTGTCCACACAACCCTCACTATGGCCCGCACAGTCAACTACTGAGGTCTGTGCTCCTCCTTCAGCGTAGGAGGACCGATACGGCACGGACTCTCTCTCTCTGATGAAGCCCTCTCGCTGTGGTCAACAGCGGGACCTCCGCATTGGCGCCTCGATCATGAACCGCGTTGCTGCTGCTGCTGTCGTGCGCACGAGACGAACATCATCGCTACCACAGCGAACATCACTCCCACATTGCAGGGCGGAAACAACCAGCTAAAAAGACACACGGGAACACGACTAGAATATAAATCAGGCTAACAGTGGCGTCGTAACTACATTATCAGTGGCGTAGTGGTTACATTATCAGTGGCGTAGTGGTTACATTATCAGTGATGTAGTAACTACATTATCAGTGGCGTAGTGGTTACATTATCAGTGGCGTAGTGGTTACATTATCAGTGATGTAGTAACTACATTATCAGTGGCGTAGTAACTACATTATCAGTGGCGTAGTGCTTACATTATCAGTGATGTAGTAACTACGTTATAAGTGGCGTAGTAATTCCATTATCAGTGGCGTAGTAGCTATATTATCAGCTCAGAGGGTGCGGCAATCTGTCAGCTGGGGCCCCACTATTGTGATTGTCTCGCACGGTCGCACCGAGGCTATTCGATGTCGCGGCCTCTTCTGGCCTACGTACGTCATGACGCCCACGGTCTCAGATATGTAACACTGTAGGGGCGCTCCGTCTCTACTAAACAAGTGTTTGTTTGGCACTGTTTTTGAAAACGTATCTCATCGCGGTTGTCAAAGGGGCCCCAACTCGTGGCTTTGCCCACCAGGGGGGCCAGGGCACCCCCCCTGGCTGCCCCGCGTCCGCCACGCCGCTCACTCATCTCGACGGCCGCAGCCAGCCAGCCACGCACGGCGCGGTGACACCCAGAGTCGCGAATCTCGGCACCTCCCACAAGGGGGTGCCAGTGGTGGCCCCGTTCTGTCTGTCAAGCTCTTTAACCCCCCCCCCCCACCAACATGAAACACACAATGTATGCCCTCTAGTAAATATCAATAAACCACCAACACTTGTCGGGGGGCGAGGGAAGGGGCCATTGGGGGGCTCGCTTGCCCCCCCCCCGCCCCCCGCCTTGAGAGCACAGCAAGAAGACTTGGTTCCTGCCGTGGGCGCAGGGCCCTGCGCCGGCTGCTCGCAGCGCGCACGGGGACTCGGTGGACCCCTCTCCACACCCCAATCACGCCCACTCGCCTAGCCCCCACAGCCGCCGCCTCCCATCCTCCTCCTCCTCCGCTCGTTCTCTTCCCGTCTACCCTGCGTGTAGCCCCCTGGCACACACTCACACACACACGCGCGCATGCCCTTGCCCCTGCACACACACACGCAGCACGCGCCCTCCCTGCCCCGTCATCCGCAACGTCACGTGTGCGCGTGTTTATGGTGCTCTGCGACTCACTCGCACTCTCTATCAGCCACTCACTCTCCACACGCACTCACTCTCCACACGCACTCACTCACTCGGAGACATCACAACGTGGCTGAACGCTTCTGTTCAGAAAGCGAATCGCGCGCCCACGACATCTCAGCCGGGGGGACAAGATAATTGTTCATCAGAGGAACTTCGCACTGGCTACTGCTGCTGCTGCTGCTGGAGATAACCAACTTATCCTGGACAAGTGACCGGTCAACTGGCTGGCTGGCCACTCGAACAGTCGGCTGGCCGGTGGGACAGCGGCCTGCCTTGATCGGCATCAAGAAAGGGCGGTAAGGTCCGGCGAGTGTGCGCTTGTGACCTTCACGATGGCACTGTACTCTGCATAGGGCATGAGCGCAGCATCGGCTCGTGCGACATCTCGCGCGTGCCGTCCGCCGGCAGTCCGCGACACACGGTGAGGGTCACGGTGATCAATAATAATATAACAATGCGATGTATGTATGCGGGAAAGCCTCGCTAAGTCTCAAGGTTCTTTGTCGGGAGGGTCCTGCCCCATTGAGATGGTTGCCTGACTTATTTATAGCTGCTGTTATTGTTGTTCCCAGTTGTTTGGCGTCGTGAAAGAGGAGACCACGAGAATGCTCACCGCGCTGTCTATCAGGGGTTACGCTCTCATACACACACACTCACTCAGAGGTCCGTACAGACGGGTTCACGAACCCGCTTGCTCGACTGACATCTATCTCACGGACTACCATTTCGCAGGACAGCGGAATGGGGCGTTTCGAAAATTCTCTGCGTGATCCACCAACCCTCGTTTATATGCAGCCGAACGTCAGTGTACATCAAGCAGCGTCAGTCAGCGGGGTTTGTTGACAATCGCAGTGGGGAGCGGTGGTGCAGCGGTGAGCGCGCTGCGCTGCGAACCCGACGACCGAGTCGATTCCTGCTCACGGTCAGCAGCAGTGACGATTATCTGAACCGGTCCTGGGCCTCCCCTAGGTCGACTCAGCCTAGATTGCGACCGGACGTGGTGTTGCCCCCCCCCCCCTCGTGTGCCGTTCCGGCCCTGCATAGGTGCTGCTCGCTGGGATCTTTCAATTTGTCCTTGTGTGTCAGTGAGTTAGAATGGGGTGTCTGTTTGTGTTGTCCACAAATATGTTTTTGCCACGTTCCACACCCGTGCGTGCCGCGGAGTGTGCGTGTGTGCCTTTGTTTGTGTCTTTGGAGACAAAGGCGTCCGGGCGTGGTGCTGGCCACTCACCCCCTCGTGTGCCGTGTCGGACTTCATCGGTGCTCGCTAACAGCACTTGCCCCTCCCGACAGTCTGTTAATGCTACACGGGGGATCTTTGTCTCTGTGTGTGCGTGTGTGAGTGTTTGGAAGTGTTTGTGTGAATACATGGGCACGTGGCAGAGACACACACACACCATAACTCAAACACACACCGGATCTCAGAAGATAAGCCGGAATGTTGGGCCTGGTTAGTACTTGTATTGAGAAACTACATTTGAATAACAGGCGTTGTCGGCTTGGTAACCATGAAATGGTAGTGCGGAAATGTACTTTTGAATCAATCTGTGCAGAGCTTCGAATATGAATCCTCGTACAGAGCGCGGTGAGTGATGTGTGAGCTGCTCTTATCAACCTCCCTCCCCTCCACCGTCACCAAGCCAACCCGCAATGACCATGGTGAGAAGCGTCGTCAAACTACCCCCATGACCGACCCTCCGGTTTCCACCTACACATGAAGTCATCGTCATCATCATAAGCTATGACATATCCACTGCTGGATGAAAACGTCCCCATGCTGTCATCACCCCCTCACAGTCCTGGGATTACACAATCCATATAACTTTTGTCGCATGAGCCGAATTCATTGATCCATCTCTTGGAAGGAGTTTTCCACCCCTTTGGCTACCATTCCATCACCACTCTAGCCCATCGGATATCGTCCAGTCGAGCCATGCCGTGTCCATTGTGATCGAGGTCTCTCATTGGTCCGTCTGCTCTACTCTGGTGCGTCATCCCGAGCGTGCGTCTCTCCGCGCTTCTTTGCGCACTTGAAGCCACTCGTTTATGGAAGTCGTGGCCAAATATCTCCGTGTAGCAGCAGGACCCTCATGCGAACACGACTTCAGACTCAGTGAGGCTCTCCTTGGGGTTTCGTGTCTCTAAGTGCTATGAAGAAGGGCCATTGCCCGACACGTCGCATATTTAATATTTGTATTCACTACGAAGGCCACGGTGTAATTGATGCGTGTGTTGATGGTTTGTTTGTGGCTGTGGCGCGGAGGAGGTTCGCGTGGTTTGGAGGTGCGCGCAGAATGAAAGCAACAGGTGTCTGGGCGACAGGGCTGGGAGATTGAGAGAGATCGGGAGAGGGAGGGAGATGGTTGAGGGAGGGACGTTGGAGAGGGAGGGAGACGGGAGAGGAGGAAAAGACATGGGCGAGGGAGATCGGGCGCACAGCGCGATCCAAATATGCGCACCAACTCCCTTGGAACACCACCCGCTCTCCCTCTCGATGTAAATACACACGCTTACATAACGCGCCTCGCTGGCCTACACGTGCCACCCTGATACCGCCACCGTCATCGATTCCTTCATTCTGACAGGCAGATTTAGGGGAGCCGCAACATTCTCGATCTTGTGTCTCTCTTGTGTCTGCGTGTGTCTCTCTTGTGTCTGCGTGTGTCTCTCTTGTGTCTCTCTTGTGTCTGCGTGTGTCTCTCCATCTCTCTGTGTCGGGCTCTCCCGCATCTAGGTGTATCTCGTCTCTATATTATCGGTCTTGTATCTAAGTGTACCTCCACGTCTTTGTGTCTGGTCTCTGTGTATTTCTGTCAGGCAAAGATCCTCCGTATAGCCTTAACAGACTGTTGGGACAAGTGCTGTTAGCGAGCACCTATGAAGGCCTTTGTCTTCCCAGTGGCGATGTTTACACATGCACCAGGTACTCATTTGAGGCTGAGTCGAACGAGGGGAGGTCCAGGATCGGTTCATATAATTGTCACCGGTGTTGGCCGTGAGCGGGAATCGAACTCGGGTTACCGGTTGCGTAGTGCAGCGCGCTAACCGCTACACCACCGCTGGATAGACAGACACACATCCACACACTTGACAAATGCGTCTACAAACATGTCTATCTCTCACTGACGCAGTTTGCATCTACACAGTGAATATCGCACGCAGTCAAACATGTAAATGAACACGCAAGTCAAGTCGAGGAGGTACCCTCCGCCGGGTCGCGCGCTCTCGCCGTAGCAGCGCGCGTGGGGTGCGCGCGCCTTCATTCGCGATTCAGAATCAGCTGAGACTGGCGCCGCGTTTCCCATCGAGGCTGGGAGAGCGTTCCACCATTGACCTGAGTTGCCCACGGCTAACATCAGTGGCGAACGACATCGGAACTGGTCCTGGCCTCATCCACGCTTCAACAACTTGCGCTGACCAGCGCGGTGAAGTACGGTCAAACAATCCCCCCCGTGACTAAGACGTCGTGTAGACTACTACACAGATTGGTAGTGACAGAGTTTTGTATTTTAAGCTTGTGACACAAGTGGAACTCACTGAATAAGGGCCATTTCCTCAAACGTCCGATTCGCACAGTTGGCTACATACGGTGCGAAAGAATGTCAACATATACCTTAGTACACAGAACAGTCTGTTGTGTACTCATGGTGTAAGTCGGTGGTCATGACTCAGGTAGTCATCATTATTTTGCATACTATATTAATATGCTACGGTAGTCATCACGTCACAAGTTAGTGTCACCAAGATATTGAGATTACTATGGCTCAGCGAGCCAGAAGCTGGCATCATGGGCATTCTTATGATTCAGTGTTCCTACCCGGGGCTCAGAGTATTGTGAGTTTCAGTGTGGCGAGTGAGTGGGTGAGTGAGTGGGTGAGTGAGTGGGTGAGTGAGTGGGTGAGTGAGTGGGTGAGTGAGTGGGTGAGTGAGTGGGTGAGTGAGTGGGTGAGTGAGTGGGTGAGTGAGTGGGTGAGTGAGTGGGTGAGTGAGTGGGTGAGTGGGTGAGTGAGTTAGTAAGTGAATTAATCGTTGAGTGAGTGAATTCATGGGTGAGTGAATTATTGTGACCTGTAGTGTGGTGGTTGGACAACATCGTGGTATGTATCTTATAGACCGAGTGCTCAACCCGGGCGGAGGAATGAAAGATGAGTGAAGTTCTCGGGAACAGTAACTATGGTAGCAGAAGTAGTAGCGATGGCAGATTGATGAGGAGGTGGCGGAGCGCCGATGAGTGAGCGAGTGATTGGAGCGCATCAGTGAGTACTGGATCACCAATCACCCACGTTGCTTGATGGTGAAGTCGATCCGGCAGTGGGGAAAGCTGTCGTGGTGCGATGCTCCGCACACGTAACCTGCAGTGCTCACGTCGCCGGTTCGTTCTCCGGGCGCGGCAGTTGAAAGGGCTGCTGGGTGTAAAGCGAGGGCACTGCCATCCGTTCCCAGGGGGCCAGCGTGCATGAGAGCTCCGATGGACCGTCCCCAGCGGCTCTCCCGCCGGTAGACGCCCTCCCGCTAGCAGGGGGTGAGTGGGGAATTTCAGGGCCGCGCTTTTGTAAGGCTTTGTCTGTTACCAAACATCGACTAACTGTTCGCCTACAAGTTAACGCTTCAGCTGGAGACATTCTAGGAATGGCGTGTCTCTGTGCAGGTCACTTCACCACTCTCTCTCTCTCTCTGCTTGTTACCCCACACTCATCCACTTTGGAATTCCCTCTCCCACCATCAACACCATCAACACCATCAACACCATCACCACCACCATCACCGTCGTCGTCGTCGTCGTCTCTCTCTTCCTCCCGGGCCCGTGTTATTATGATAGCCCTGCTCAATTCAAGAGACGTTTACCGACCGCTCTCTTTTCTTTTACAACCTTGATGGTGCTGTTTGTTACTGGCTGCTTGACGTTTGCGGTCGTTGGGCCTGCGCTCAACAACTGTGTCTTAAACAGTAAATAAGCCATTTGACTCCACAGATCTGCCCCTCCACGTAAAACAATGGGCGTACATCTCATCAGCAGCAGCAGCACGGGTTCAACACAAACTCCGCGCCAGTTTCGACATGAGTTTCTTATCACAAAGCATTAGTGTTACACAACCCGCTCTCGGCTTCACCTGCTCATCCTGAAGACGATTGCTTCTTGATCTCGGACAGTTGACTTTACATCCCCCCATGGTGTCCCTCCCCACTCTCTTCCCTCTCTCCCTGCCTCCCCCTCCCCCCCCGCACCAAGCCAGCAGTGGATACATCTGGCCCGCAGAGCGTGGATGTGGGTCCCACTGGATATCATCGCCTCGTG